CTTCTTTCAAGATATGTCTCCAAAGGCAAAGGAAACAAAAGCCAAAATAAACTTTTGGGACTTCATCAAAATCAAAAGCTTCTGCACAGCAAAGGTAACAGTCAAGAAAACAAAGAGGCAACCCACGGAATGGGAGAAGATATTTGCAAATGACAGTACAAACAAAAGATTGATATCCAGGATCTATAAAGAACTCCTCAAACTCAACACACACAAAACAGATAATCATATCAAAAAATGGGCAGAAGATATGAACAGACACTTCTCCAATGAAGACATGGAAATGGCTATCAGACACATGAAAAAATGTTCATCATCACTAGCCATCAGGGAGATTCAAATTAAAACCACATTGAGATATCACCTTACACCAGTTCGAATGGCCAAAATTAGCAAGATAGGAAACAACATGTGTTGGAGGGGATGTGGAGAAAGGGGAACCCTCTTACACTGTTGGTGGGAATGCAAGTTGGTGCAGCCTCTTTGGAGAACAGTGTGGAGATTCCTCAAGAAATTAGAAATAGAGCTTCCCTATGACCCTGCAATTGCACTACTGGGTATTTACCCCAAAGATACAGATGTAGTGAAAAGAAGGGCCATCTGTACCCCAATGTTTATAGCAGCAATGGCCACGGTTGCCAAACTGTGGAAAGAACCAAGATGCCCTTCAATGGACGAATGGATAAGGAAGATGTGGTCCATATACACTATGGAGTATTATGCCTCCATCAGAAAGGATGAATACCCAACTTTTGTAGCAACATGGACGGGACTGGAAGAGATTATGCTGAGTGAAATAAGTCAAGCAGAGAGAGTCAATTATCATATGGTTTCACTTATTTGTGGAGGATAACAAATAGCATGGAGGACATGGGGAGTTAGGGGAAGGGAGTTGGGGGAAATTGGAAGGGGAGGTGAATGATGAGAGACTATGGACTCTGAAAAACAATCTGAAGGGTTTGAAGAGGTGGGGGGTGGGAGGTTGGGGGAACCAGGTGGTGGGTATTAGAGAGGGCACGGATTGCATGGAGCACTGGGTGTGGTACAAAAACAATGAATACTGTTATGCTGAAAATAAATTTAAAAAATGATTAAAAAATTTAAAAAAACACTTTTTTCACCAAAAGACACCATGAAAGAGTGAAAAGGCAAATTCCTTCTTCCACAGAGTGGAAGAAGACATTTTCAACATTTTATAAAGAGGTCTCATAAATCAGTAAGAGAAAGAAATCTGCAGAAAAATGAGTAACAGAATTGGGGGCATCTGGGTGGCTCAGTCAATAAAGCCTCTGCCTTTGGCTCAGGTCATAGTCCCAGGGTCCTGGGATGGAGCCCTGCGTTGGGCTCCCTGCTCAGTGGGGAGCTTTTTTCTCCTTCTCCCTTCCCGCCCCCATTTGTGCTGTCTCTATATATTTCTCTCTCTCAAATAAATAAAATCTTCTAAAAAAATGAGTAATAGAATTGAATAGTCCAAATAAAATATAATAAATGTTCTTAGCAGTATTAAGTAATCAGAAAGATGCAAATTAAAACCATAATGTGACTACACATAGATCTACCAGAGTGGCTATATATTTAAAGTTTTGAATTTTTATTTTGAGATACTGAGTTCCAGGATGTTGGAAATAGAGTACAGAGAGGTCCAGTGTATGCTTCACCTGGTTCCGTCCAATGTTTATATCTTATCACAAATGTGTGTGTATAATTTTTTTAAAAGATTTTATTATGAGAGAGAGAGAGAGAGAGAATGAGAGAGATCACAAACAGGGAGGAAAGGGAGAAGCAGGCTCCCTTCTACCAAGCAGGGAGCCTGATGCCAGCTTGATTCCAGGACCTTGGGATCATGACCTGAGCCTAAGGCAGATGCTTAACTGAGCCACCCAAGTGCCTCATGTGTGTCTAGTTTTATGTCACTTTATCACATGTGTAGATGCATGTAACTACCATCACAGTCAAGACACTGAACTATTTTATCACCACACGGATCTCCCTTAAGCTGTAAGACTCATATTCATGGGTCTCTCCTTCATTGTTCCTAACCTCTGGTCACCACTAATCTGTTCTCCATCCCTATAATTTTGTCATTTTGATAATGTTCTATAAATAGAATCATAAAGCATATGATCTTTTGAAATTGATGTATTTTTTATAAGATTTTATTTATTTTTAAATTTTATTTTATTTTTTCAGTGTTCCAGGATTCATTGTTTATGCATCACACTCAGTGCTCCATGCAATATGTGCCCTCCTTAATATCTACCACCAGGCTCACCCAACCCCCGACCCCTCTGCTCCAAAACCCTCAGTTTGTTTCTCAGAGTCCACAGTCTCTCATGCTTCATCTCCCCCACCAATTTACCCCAATTCACTTTTCCTTTCCTTCTCCTAATGTCCTCAGTGTTATTCTTTATGCCCCACAAGTTAGTGAAACCATATGATAATTGACTTTCTCTGCTTGACTTACTTCACTCAGCATAATCTTCTCCAATCCTGTCCATGTTGAGAGAGAGAGGTGAGAGTGCAAGCAGGGGGAGGGGCAGAGGGAGAAGCAGACTCCCTGCTGAGCAGGGAGCCTGATGCAGGACTCCATCATAGTACCCTGGGATCATGACCTGAGCTGAAGCAGACTCTCAACTGAGCTACCCAGGCGCCCTGAGATTAATATTTTTTAATCATAATGCCTTTGAGGTCCATCAGGTTGTTGTGTATGTATATCCATAGTTTGGTCCTTTTTAGAATGACTACGTATTTTTTAAACTGACAATACCAAGTGTTGGTGAGGATATAGAGCAATATATACTGCTAGTGGGAACAGAAATAGGTACAACCACTGTGAAAACATTATTTGGAATTTTGTACGAAAGTTGAAACATATCACCCTTTTCAACAATTCCAATTCTAGTAAACATTCAATAAAATGGGTGCCTGGGTACCTCAGTCAGTTGAGCGTCCTGACTCTTGGTTTTAGCTCAGGTCATGATCTCTGGGTCATGAGATCAAGTCCCACATCAGCACCAGAGTCTGCCTGAAATTCTCCCTCTTCCTTCCCCCTCCCCTGATCTCTCTAAAATATATAAAATCTATAAAAAATGTATATCTCTGTTAGCAAGAGAAGTGTTTTGTAAAAATATATTTATAGCAACATTATTTGTGATTGCTATAATCTGGAAAGGAATTGAATGCTTACCAACAGTGTAATGGATTTTTTAAAATTATGGTGTGATCATACTCTAGAGTGTATATGTATATATGTGTGTGATGCCTTCATGAATTAATTTAAAAAGTGAAAACAGAAACATATCACTTTTGTTCCCATCAGGTTAGAAATATATTTATCTCTGACATATGATAATCATAGTAGTAAGTTTTTTTTTTTAGTAGGAATTGGTAATAACAAGATAAGGGACAGTGAGGAGTAATGACTCTGAATTAGCTTAAAGAGCTTATTGAAGAATTTTGGGAGAGCAGGATTGGTATAGGACAAACCAAAATAATCATTTTTAAAAAAGATTTTATTTATTTATTTGACACAGAGAGAGAGATAGGAAGCACAAGCAGGGGAAGAGGCAGGCAGAGGGATAGAGAGAAGCAGACTCCCCGCTGAGCAGAGAGTCCCATGCAGAACTTGATCCCAGCACCCCAGGATCATGACCTGAGCCTAAGGCAGACTCTAACTGACTGAGCCACCCAGGCACCCCTGAAGTAATCACTTAATGTATTCTCATGAAAACATGATAGATTCTAGTTTAAAAGACTTGCAGGATCTAATGAATGGTGTGAGCTAACAACTGTTCATGTTTGAAGGCAGAAGGGAAAGATTGTTTGGTTAGCTGTTAAGAGCAAGGTACTGTGACTGTTTTGTGATGATGATATTTAGTTTGTCCATCTGACAGTTTCGTTATGTTTTTTACCTGCTATGACCCTCTCTGGATGTTGTTCTCTAATGGATCATGGACCCATTCACACTGGGTGATGTAGGTGTGATACAGGGTTTATTGGAAGAAACTTAACAAAAAGTAGAGTGCAGGGAATCTCTCAAACTCCCTTTTTATTTCACAGCTTAGGCCAGGCATGAATGGTCCTCAAGCACCATGGCCAAATGACCTTACATTAAAGACTGGCCTCTACTCTCTAATCCTCTCTAATATGTAGGTCAGGGCAGAGAACATTTAAGTGACTATGTAACAGTCATTAGAAAAGGGAAGCTTCAGCAGCCCAAGAGGTAGGGATGGCCTGTTCTTCCTTCAGGCTCAAAACACTCAGACCTACTAAGCCTTCTTGCTGCTAACCTTATAAATGGGGGTTGGAAATGAACCTCCAGGGCCATCTAGATTTATTTTTCATCACATGTTTCCTATTACTAGAAAATGAAGTAAAAACTTCTTGGCCTAGTATAAAGGTCTTCTCATAGCTTTCTCACATTTCCATATCAGGCCTTTTTGCCACCGATTCTATATAGATTTTTCTCATTAGCTGAATTATTTTCTAATAAATGATTGTTTATTCTAAGCTTCTCATCTGAATTTCTCATTCTTGTCCCATCTCTTCTGTAATGCCTCCCTGATGATCTCAATTCTTATACCAAATATTACCATTTTTCGTATGCTGCCTAATATTACTAATTTTTCTGTGTACCTTTCTTTTTTTCCATCTAACTTGTAAATTCCTTAAGGGTAGGGAACATACATTATTAGATTACTTTGTAACCTCTATAATACCCTAGTGAACTTGTGTGTAAATGCTCAACAAATAATGAATGATTTAGAATGTGTGCTCTTATAATGTATTTTAATTATATAATATTCATAATATTTTGGGGGTTCTCTGTGCCTCTTTTAGATTCTAAACATTAATTGTTAATAAGTATAATGCTAGATTCTTTATTAGGACATTTTTTCTGTTGTAGTTAAAAACTCAGTTTTTTGAGATTGGTAACAATTATTGTTTGTTGGTCACTCTCCTAGCCAGTTGAGTAATTAGATTCCTCCATTCTACTTCAGCAAGAAGTTGAGAACTTTAAGAAGCTAAATCTCATTAGTAAAGAGCAGTTCGAAAACCTAACACCTGAACTTCCTTTTGAGCCAAACCAAGAAGCTCGGGTAGCACCTTCACAGTCCAGGCAAGGTATGTAAATCTGCTTTTGTGTGTAATAGTTTCTGAATAGTATTAAAGCACTTCTAAATTGTTTTCAAAGTTTGCTGCTTTTCTATCTGTGGAAAATGTTTAGGTATCTGGTAAAAGACTAGAATTTTAAAACTCAACTGTTACTTATCCTTTGGCGGACTTCAAAACATTTTAGAGACTTGACAGTACAGACTGTAAATTTGGTAAGTCAGCCTTACAGTATAATCCCACCTTAACTTCTGTTGAACAGGCAGGTGATCACACAGGTGATGTAGGAGTCATCTGTTGTAACACCACAACATGCTCAAACCCAGATGCTTACTGAAAAGCAAGCAGGATTGGTTGGTTCTTTATGTGTCTCATTTGATTTTGAGGTTGCTGGAAATGCTTCTCTTTTTGAAATAAAATTTTTCACTGACTTGCTGATTCCCTAAAATATACAACTAACACCATTCTTTTTTCCTAAGGCCTTAGCTTAGTGTGAACATATAAATACATTTGGGAGATACATAAATTGAATCCGACATTTTCAGGCAAGTGTAAGTGGTTTTGTTATAGCTTTTCATGAAGGCAGGTTAAAGAAAAACTTTTAATTTGGAAAGCTTCAAGTATATGCCAAAATAAAACAAATTGTGTAATGTAATGAAACCCCCATGTACCCATTTGCTACTAATTTCATAGTCAATTTTGTTTCATCTTAGCTCCACTCATTGTCTTTATTCCCACTAGATAATTTTGAAGCAAACTTCTGATTTTTATTAATATTTTTTCATTCCTACATATTTATGTATGTGTCCTTAAAAAGAACCTTTTAAACACATAAATAACATATGCCATCATCACAGCTAAAATTAATATTAATCCCTTAATATCAAATATCTAGTTCGTACTCACTTTTCCTCAATTATCACTTAAAAAAATTGGGATCCATATGAATTTGAACATTCCAGGATTGATATGTCTTGTTTAATCTATAGGTTCAAAGTAATTTTTTTCCTTGCAACTTATTGTTGAAGGAACTGGGTTGTCCTGTAGAATGTCTCACATTCTGGGTTTTGCTGATTGCATCACCTCAGTTTCATTCAGTCTGTTTTCTGGTCCTGAATTTTCTGTAACTATTATTTTGATATAGAGGCTTCATCAGATTGAGGCTTAAATTTTTGTGAGAGTATGTCATAGATAATTATTGAATATTTCTACCAAGAGGCACATAATGCTCAATTGTCTGTCTCATTATGGCCTTAATAGCCATTGATAATCATTGCTTGGAGCTTTTATGTCACAAGGGGCTGCAAAGTGGTGATAATTATGTTTTTATCATTGCTTCTTAAATTTAGTAGAATACTTTCATAAAGAGAAATTCCCCCTAATTGGCTATTTGTTTACCCTCAGATAGAGTTCTTATAGAAAAGAGAATAAGTGCTCAATTTTTTCTCTTTGTTCACTAGTTTTCAAAGTAATGAACTGGTTCCCTAACATCTTTCATTGATGACCAATGACATTTAATTTTTGTGTTCATTTTAAATTATCCTTGTGGTTTCATAAATGTATTAGATGTGTTTCACTGTATTGTAGTTAATTTTTTAAAAGATTTTATTTGAGAGAAAGGGAGAGAGCACAAGCGGGGGTGGAGGAAGAACAAAGGAAGAGAGAGAAGCAGACTTCTCATTGAGCAGGGAGCCAACAGGGGACTTGATTCCGGAACCCCTAGATAATGACTTGAGCTGCGGGCAGATGCTTAACCGACTGAGCCACCCAGGTGCCCCTGTTGTAGTTATTGATCCTTTTGCCATTCATCAGTTATTGGCTTTTAGCTCCAAGTCCATCTTGCATTGCTTTCTTCTGTGATAGGTGGAATTGGGCTGTTTTAACTGTTTTGTTTGCCAGCAGGCATGATAAACGTTTTGTCAGTGCTTGAGTTGCTACTGAGTTGTCTATTGTTTCTGGGTTTTTTTGATTGAAAGAGTTTAGAGATTTTCTTTTTTAAAGAAAAATACACTAGGGGAGCCTGGGTGGCTCAGTTGGTTGAGCGTCTGCCTTTTGCTTGGGTTGTGATCCCGGGGTACTAGGATCAAGCCCCATCTCCCTTTTACCCCTGCTCATGCTCTCTCTTGCTGTCTCTCTTTCTCTTTCAAGTAAATAAGTAAAATCATTAAAAAAAAGAAGTGGAAAATACATTATAAACTCATGTTGATATTTTCTGTTCAACTTTAGGATTAAAGGTTTTAATTTTAATTTGTTTGGTTTTGTATTTGTACTGCTTTTTACTTAGAAAAGAAAATCTTTGTTCCTAACCACAGTAGCAGGATTATTTACTTATTTATCCTTTGATAAAATAGTTTTAGAATAATATTAAATACTACTATTACTATGAATACTGAAAGGTTACTTCTTTTAAATATCTTTAAACTTTTATTTTTTTATTTGAGACAGAGAGTGAGCAAGAGAGCACAAGCTTGGGGTAGGGGCAGAGGGAGAGGAAGAAGCAGACTTCCTGCCAAAAAAAATTTTTTTAACCATTCTTAGAGTATTCCAATAAGTATGTTCAGGCTAATTACAAGATTTTTTTGCCTTGTTTAATCTGAGTACATTAAAATTGATCATTTATACTCTTCAGTACATTGTGGAGAGAATGGAAGTCCCAAATTAGGAGATGAATTTTGTAGTGCATAAAAGTAATAAAAAATTGGTATAATAAAAATCTTAAATTGTAAAAATCAACATAAAAAATGGTAATATCAACAGAAAAAGTAGTAGATGAAACATTAAGTGGAAATTCATACAGAGAAAAACTGAATGGCCAGTAAATTTGCAAAGATGCTCTCATCTTTACTTTGTTGCATTTGCCAATTAAAATCACAGTGACATATCCTATTATAACCCAACAGTTTCACTTTAAGAGATATTCTTGTAAATGTTTACCAAAAGACCACTTACAGTAACGTTGTTCATAATAGAAAAAAACAAGTGAAAATTTTAAAATGCCCATTTATAGTACACTGTATTGTAAAATGTGCTATATTCATATAAAGGGAAAATATACAGCAGTGGAAATGAAAGAACTAAAGCTACATGTGACAAAATGGGTTAATCTTAAAAATAGAAGATATATAAAAAAAATAGAAGATGTATAAAATAAGCTAGACACAAAGGAGTTCACTCAATTTAATATCATATAAAACAAAATTCATGGTATATGCATAGCACATGGGAACCATCAACAGCAAGGGGAATTGTTAATACAAAAATTTAATGATATTTACCCTGAGAGAAGGGTAGAATTCCATTCGAAAGGTCTGCATATAGGCTTGCCTACATCTGGAATTTATGTGTTGTTCTAATTGGTGGGTATGTGGGTATCAACTCTGTGTTTGCCTTCCTAGGTAAAGTAAGCTCTTTAAGTTAAATCTCATTATTTGCACCAGGGCTTTTTTTTTTTTTTTTTTAAATAAAGTGCTCTTGAAAACTTGAATTTCTTCCATACTTAATTTCTTGTTCTCAGTTTAAGTCTTCTCTATTTTTAAATTTATATACACATTTATTAATCTTTATTAGTGTACTACAATTTCCAATTTTAAAAAATAGGAACAAAAAATTAGCAAATATTAAGAAGATAGAGTCAATCCAATATTTCTATGATAAAAAAATGTTGAATACATCCATTCCTGATTAAAATGCTTCAAAGTATAGGGATAGAGGGAATATTCCTCAACTTAATAAAATCTATCTATGAAAACCCCACAGGAATATCATTCTCAATGAGGAAAAGCTGACAGCTATCCCTTTGAGAACAGGAACATGACAAGGATGCCCACTCTTGCCACTGTTGTTCAACATAGTACTAGATGTCCTAGCAATAGCAATCAGACAACAAAAAGAAATAAAAAGTATTCAGATTGGCAAAGAAGACGTCAAACTTGCTCTCTCCACAGATTGCATGATACTTTATATGGAAAACTCAAAAGACTCCACCCCTAAACTACTAGAACTCATACAACAGTTCAGTAATGTGGCAGACTACAAAATCAATGTATAAAAATCATAAAAATGCTTTCTTATACACTAACAATGAAAATATAGAAAGGGAAATTAGAGAATCAATTCCATTTATTATAGCACCAAGAACCATGAGGTACCTGGGAATAAACCTAACCAAAGAGGTAAAGGATCTGTATTCAAGGAACCACAGAAAACTCATGAAAGAAACTGAAGAAGACACAAAAAGATGGAAAAGCATTCCATGCTCATGGATTAGAAGAATAAACATTGTCAAAATGTCTATACTGCCTAGAGCCATCTATACTTTCAATGCCATTCCAATCAAAATTCCACTGGCATTTTTCAAAGTGCTGGAACAAACAATCCTAAATTTGTATGGAACCAGAAGAGACCCCAAATTGCTAAGGAAATGTTGAAAAGGAAATACAAAACTGGGGGCACCACATTGCCTGATTTCAAGCTTTACTAGAAAGCTGTGATCACCAAGACAGCATGGTACTGGCACAAAAACAGACACATAGACCAGTGGAACAGAGTAGAGAGCCCAGATATGGACCCACAACTCTGTGGTCAAATAATCTTCGACAAAGCAGGAAAAAATATACAGTGGAAAAAAGACAGTTTCTTCAATAAATGGTGCTGGGAAAATAGGACAGCTATGTGTAGAAGAATGAAGCTTGACCATTCTCTTACACCATACACAAAGATAAACTCAAAATGGATAAAAGACTTCAATGTGAGGCACAAATCTGTCAAAATCCTAGAGGAGAACATAGGCAGTAACCTCTTCAACATTGGCCACAGCAACCTCTTTTAAGACATGTCTCCAAAAGCAAAGGAAACAAAAGCAAAAATGAATTTTTGGGACTTTGTCAAGATCAAAAGCTTCTGCACAGCAAAGGAAACCGTCAACAAAACAAAGAGGTAACCCATGGAATGGGAGAAGATGTTCGCAAATGACACTACAGACAAAGGGCTGATATCCAAGAACTATAAAGAAC